TGTGGCAGGCACCTGTAGTCCCAGCTACTTGGGAGGCTGAGGCAAGAGAATAATTTGAGCCCAAGAGTTTGAGGTTACTGTGAGCTATAACACCATAGCACTCTACCAAGGGCAATAAGGTAAGACCCTGGCTCAAAAAAATAAAAGGAAAGAGTTTCTTGAACTTGCCAATTTTTTCTATACATCTTTTTTCTCTTCTCCTATTTTTACTCAAATGTGATCATCCTACATGTATTTTTCAGAACTTTGATTTTTAAATCTTTTATGCTTAAGAATGTCTATGAAATACTTGTGTGTGTGTCTAAGTATTTGGGTATTTAACAATTATATAGGGTGAATTCCTTGCGTTGTTTTTCACTTAACAGTATTTCAGAGACATTTTCATATGCATCTACATCATTCTTTTAATTTCTATTTCCATTGTATGGATACACTATAGTTTTTATTTAATCAGTTACTTTATTGAATTTGGATTGGATTGTTTTCAGATGTTTGCAATTACAAACAGGTTGGGCCGAGTGCAGTGGCTCATCCCTGTAATCTTAAAACATTGGAAGGCTAAGGCAGGTGGATCACTTGAGCTTAGGAGTTTAAGACCAGCCTGAGCAAGAACTAGACTCTGTCTCTACTAAAAATAGAAAAATTAGCTGGGCATTGTGGTGGGCCTGTAGTCCCAGCTACTTAGGAGGCCGAGGCAAGGGGATCAGTCAAGCCCAAGAATCTGAGGTTGCTGTGGGCTATGATGACAGCACAGCACTCTACCCGTGGTGTGAGAGTGAGATTTTGTCTTTAAAAAAAAAACAAACCCACTCCCAAACAAACAGTGGTTGGTAGACATCCTTTCTCATGTATGTGTGAATATATCTGAAGGTTAAATTGCTAGAATTAAAATCACTATGTTAAAGTATGTGCATTTGTGTAATCCTAGCACTCTGGGAGACCGAGGTGGGTGGATTGCTTGAGCTCAGGAGTTTGAGATCAGCCTGAGCAAGAGTGAGCCAGGCATTGTGGTGGGCACCTATGGTCCTAGGAACTCAGGAGGCTGAGGCAAGAGTTTGAGGTTGCTGGCAGCTGTGATGCTGTGGCACTCTACCGAGAACAACGAAGTGAGACTCTGTTTCAAAAAAAAAATGTACATGTAAAGTGTTTATGGATGTTGCCAAATTGCCCAGTAGGAGAATGCTGGCAGCTCTTACTCTCAAGCCAGGTTGCTAGATTCTTCTGAGAGAGTCAGTTGTGGTAGGGAATTGATCATTCACAAACATCTGGGTCTCCACTAAGCACTATCACTGTTGTCAGGTGGTCTTGGAGGTAGAAAGTTGTGAGCCAAGCCTCCAGAGAAAAATCAGTGTCTGGAGTACTTCTAGTTTAACCTTAGGTTACCTGATAAGCAGCGGTCCCAGTCAGCAGGAATTCCTAGATATGATGTTGTTCCTTCCTTTGGACACCGTCAACTCTAAGCCACCATTTCCCATTTTTGTTATGACTTTGCAAAATAAACTAAGCGGAAACATTTAATTAAACAGGTAGCTGCTAAATTTTTATGGTGAGGCCCTAGCGTGCTGCCGAGTTCTCTCTGCGCTCTGTTCCAGTGCCCTGGGGGTACCTGAATGGGTTTTGCTCACTAAGAATTACCCATTTTAGAGCCTCCCCAACAGTTGTTCTCAAGCTGCCCGTCAGGAAGGAAGCCCTTTGACACATTTCTAAGATCTGTGAACCATTGGCTTGGTGTCAGTCTTCTCTTGGCTGGAAGGTAAAACACCCATATTTGCCACCACACAGAGAAATAGGTGTGCTGTGCTTTCGGGCCTTTATTCCTCTGATCCTAAGCATGCACTCCCTTTCCTCCCACCATTTCCCAGCCAGCCAGACACACAGGAAATGGCTCAGTTTTCTCACATAAAAATAGCAAAAACCATTTTTTGAAAAAATAGCATAAAAATATTCAATGTGGAGGAAAATCCACTTGAATGAACATAAGTATTATTTATTTACATTTGTCTTCTACGATTAACTATTACAGTATTTTTTTAAATGTCAATAGTTGTGACATTTGGCACTGATGTGGAAAAGTAAAGTGTCTGCTTCCAAGGCATTCTCTCTTTGTTGGCCTTCACAGGACACTTCAGGTCATTCCTAGATTAAGAGGGGGAAGAGAGGGAAGAGGGCAGCAGATTCACAGTTGGTGCCAGTCCACGATTCTCTGTCTTTCTGTAGCAAGTGGATGCATACATTTCGATTCCTTGTCAATGGCTGCTGAAAGTCTAGAAAGGATAAAGTGCTTATGACCGCCATGTAGGTGGACGCCAGTGATGTGGTCTCTTATGCTGGGACTATTTGGGAAAGTACACTGGAAACAATAGCTTTAAATCAACCTAAGTCTCTTTTTTTTTTTTTTTTTTGAGATGGAGCCTCAAGCTATCCCCCTGGGTAGAGGGCCATGGCATCACAGCTCATAGCAACCTCCAACTCCTGGGCTCAAGCGAGTCTCCTGCCTCAGCCTCCCAAGTAGCTGGGACCACAGGCGCCCGCCACAACGCCCGGCCATTTTTTTAGTTGCAGCCATCATTGTTGTTTGACGGGCCCGGGCTGGGGATTCGAACCCGCCACCTTAGGTGTATGTGGCTGGCGCCTTAGCCGCTTGAGCCACAGGCACCGAGCCTAAATCAACCTAAGTCTTTACAAGTAATCTCAGAGACAAAGCAGCACTCTGAGAGCAAGATCCAACTACAAAGAAGAAAATTAATAATACACCTCATACTCTGTTAGGAGAAGATCCATATGAATAATAATTTAAGGGATAGATCTTTCTCTTCAGTGAGCTGGGTGCAGTCTTGGTAATAAGGGGAAATGTCCCCCTTTTGTACTCATCGGCCTCCCTGTGCGACAGCAACACTGGCAGGGGTGTCTGATCTCCCAGGGCTTAGGTCCATACCTACACCCAGAGGGTGCTCAGTAAAGACCTATTGAGGTCCACTGGGCTTATTCTCTGCTGAGTAGCAAAGAATTTGGTACCTAACTTGGTAAGAAGTGTAAACTATCTTTCATTCTACACCTGCACGAAAATGCCTTTCTTTTGAGAATAACCAATTGATCATGCCAGGAGCTAGAAGACTAGACTTCTGGAAAGATCCATTTATTGATATAAAGAGAATGAGGGAAATAGTTGCGGAGACATGGAAATGCTAGAATTAATCCAGAAGAGGTGGCTATAAAAATGTTCTTTTTTTTTTGAGACAGAGTTTCAGTATGTTGCCCTTGGTAGAGTGCTGTGGCATCACAGCTCACAGCAACCTCCAACTCTTGGGCTTAAGCGATTCTCTTGCCTCAGCCTCCAAGTAGCTAGGACCACAGGTGCCCACCACAACACCCAACCATTTTTTTTCTGTTTTGGTTGCAGTTGTCATTGTTTAGCAGGCCTGGGCCGGACTAGAACCTACCACCTTCTGTGTATGTGGCCAGCATCCTCCTTACTGAACTATAGGCACCGAGCCTAAAAACGTCCCCTTTAAGGAGACAAGATATATATATATATATATATATACTACATGGACGGTCTCAGATGCAGTGCTCTGAGTGGAAGAGGCCATAGAGAAAGGGCCATGTATGTACAATGTGTGTATTTACATGATATCCTGGAAGAGACAAACTATAGGGATAGAGATCAGTGGGTGCCATTGGGTGCCAGGGAAGAGTGTTACGTACAAAGGGACACCAAGGGAGTTTGGGGGTGATGGAAATATTCTGTATCATTTTTTTTTTTATTTGAGACAGAGCCTCAAGCTGTCACCCTGGGTAGAGTGCTGTGGCATCACAGCTCACAGCAACTTCCAACTCCTGGGCTCAAGTGATTCTCCTGCCTCAGCCTCCCAAGTAGCTGGGACCACAGGCGCCTGCCACAATGCCTGGCCATTTTTGGGTTGCAGCCATCATTGTTGTTTGGCGGGCCTGGGCTGGGGATTAGAACCCGCCACCTTAGGTGTATGTGGCTGGCGCCTTAGCCACTTGAGCCGCAGGCGCCGAGCCAATATTCTGTATCTTAATGACAGTGGTGTTTACTTGACTATGGGTTTATTGAAATTTGCAGAGTTGTACATTCAGAGATGTATGTATCTTATACCTCAATTGTTTTTATTTTTTTATTATTACTATTATTTTTTGAGACAGAGTTTCACTGTGTAGCCCAACTTGATAGAGTGCCATGGTGTCATAGCTCACAACAATCTCAAACTCCTGGACTTAAGTGATTCTCTTGTCTCAGCCTCCCAAGTAGCTAGTACTATAGGTGCCCGCCACAACACCTGGCTATTTTTTTTGTTGCAGTTGTTTAGCTGACCCAGGCTAGGTTTAAACTTGCCACCCTTGGTATATGTGGCTGGCGCTGTAACCACTATGCTACGGGCACCAAATCACCTCAAATTTTTTTAATGGGAAGAAAACTTGAAAAAATAATTTGGGTGAGGTGCAGTGGCTCACGCCTCTAATCCTAGCACTCTGAAAGGCCAAGGCAAGTGGATTGTTTGAGCTCAGGAGTTCAAGACCACTCTGAGCAAGAGTGAGACCCTGTGTCTACTAAAAATAGAAAAAGTAGCTGGGTGTGGTGGCAAGCATCTGTAGTCCTAGCTACTCAGGAGGCTGAGGCAGGAGGATTATTTGAGCCCAAGAGACTCAGAGGTTGCTGTGAGCTATGATGATGCCATGGCACTCTCCCAGAACAACAGAGTGAGACTCTATCTCAAAAATAAAAAAGTTTTGGCTCGGCGCCTGTGACTCAAGCAGCTAAGGCGCCAGCCACATACACCTGAGGTGGCGGGTTCGAATCCCCAGCCTAGGCCCGCCAAACAACAATGATGGCTGCAACCAAAAAATGGCCAGGCGCTGTGGCGGGCGCCTGTAGTCCCAGCTACTTGGGAGGCTGAGGCT